GGAGAACGTGTCCTATAAGGTGGCCCGTGAGAAGACCGGGTGAATGACCTGTCAGATTTTGTGCCTTGTGAGCTCTCTTGGGAATTGTGAGCACCTTGTGACTCCTGCTGGGGATTATGAGTTTTTTGTGAGTTCTCTTGGGTATTTTGAACTCCCTGTGAGTTCTCTTGGGAATTTTGAGAACCTTGTGAGTTAGCTTGGGTATTTTAAGCATCCTGTGAGTCCTGTTGGGTATTATGAGCATTATGAACCCTTCAAGCACATTTTACCCCCATTTTTAAGGCATGTGAGCGCCTCTGAACCTCATATGAGCCCCTCTGAACCCTCTGAGCACTTTGTATGAGCCCATGTGAGCATTTTAGTCCCTTTTAGCACATTTTGAGCGTCTTGGAGCATATTTGAGCACCTGTGAGCATTTTTATGTCCTGTGAGCATTTTTTAAGCCCCTTGAGCACATTTTGAGCGTCTTGGAGCATATTTGAGCCCCTTGTAAACATTTTTACGTCCTGTGAGCATTTATAAGCCCTTTAAGCACATTTTTAGCGTCTTGACGCATCTTTGAGCCTCTTGTGAAAACTTTTACGTCCTGTGAACATTTTTAAGCCCCTTGAGCACATTTTTTCGCGTCTTGGAGCATATTTGAGCCCCTGTGAGCATTTTTATGTCTTATGATCATTTTAAGCCCCTTAAGCACATTTTTGAGCGTCTTGGAGGTGGCAGGAAGCGAGAGAGAAGGTGTCACGTGACTGAGTGTGAGGGTGAACGACCTGTGTAAGTTTGCCAGAAAGTGAGTGAACGATTCCTGTGGTGAAGCCTCTCGGTCTTTGCCACCATTACCACCTCGGTCTCTGCCACTACTACCACCTCGGTCTCTGCCACCACTAATACTTCGGTCTCTGCCACCACTAATACCTCGGTCTCTGCCACCACTAATACCTCGGTCTTTGCCACCACTACCACGGTCTCTGTCACTATTACCACGGTCTCTGCCACCACTACCACGGTCTCTGCCACCATTACCACGGTCTCTGCCACCATTACCACGGTCTCTGCCACCACTACCACCACGGTCTCTGCCACCACTACCACCACGGTCTCTGCCACCACTACCACCACGGTCTCTGCCACTACTACCACCACGGTCTCTGCCACTACTACCACCACGGTCTCTGCCACCATTACCACCACTACTGCTAGCATTACCATTACCACCATGGTCCCTGCCACCACTACGGCCTCTGCAACTTCTGCAACATGATCTGATGTGACCCTTGTTGCTTATGTGTGACTCTCTCTCTCTCTCTCTTACAATTGCAATATTGCATAAATATGAATATTAATGATCTGTTTTATTGTCCAATTATCTAGTTTATTACTATTATTATTATTATTATTATTATTATTATTATTATTATTATTAGTAGTAGTAGTAGTAGTAGTAGTAGTAGTAGCAGTATTATTATTATTATTATTATTATTATTGTTTATGTTGATTTATTTACCGTAAATTATCTCATTAAAAACATGTTATGTCTTAATGTTTTATTCAGCAACATTTATTAACTGAGACTATAATTATGAACGTATTACAGAAGACTTAATATGAGTCTCGGTCAAGTATATCAAGTCGGTCAGCCAGATGTGGGTGTAAATGTACCAGCAAGTGCTCTGGTCTCTTCCTATGTTTCTCTTGATAATATGTTTTGTCTTCTTAGTCGATTTTTTCTTTAGTCCAGTTATAATATCCTGTATGTTGGTTCGTAATGTGATGTGTTTGTTTGTAAGATTTTTAAACAGCAGTGATTGGTCGACACAGTATTGAGGGGGACGCTCTTTCACTTTCGACGGCCAATGACCGCTCGTCCTCAACACTATGCAATGTTGCCAGACACCCATGGCATCCCGACCCTTGTCTCCCTGTAAGATAGGAAATATTTTCAAACAGGCTTCCAAATTTATTATAAATACCTAATGTTTTAATAGTTTCAGGAAATATAATTTGATAATAGAGTATTTAAAATAGATTTGTAATAGTTAATGGCAGGCGAAGATTGAGGTGTATTGGTGGTTGCTGGTGGTGGTGGTGTTGGCTACAGTGTGTTGGGGTTACCTGGTGACCTGAAACACACAGGTAGGTGGAGATGAAGGACGGGGTGAAGAGGACACCTGTCACTAACTGTTGTTACGACTACTACTACTACTACTATTACTACTACTACCACTACTTTTACTACTACTACACCTCTCTCTCTCTCTCTCTCTCTCTCTCTCTCTCTCTCTCTCTCTCTCTCTCGTTTTTTATCTCTTTTATCTGTCTGTTTTCATCTCCTTTGCCTATATTCTGTCTATTTGTTTGACTGTATCTCTGTCTTTATCTATCTCTTTCTTTCACACACACACACACACACACACACACACACACACAAAGAGTAAACAGAACATTCCACCAATGACAAACTCTAAGGAAACTAACTACACATTTTCATTGGCTCACCAAGAATGACGTGATTGAACCTTGCACCTCCAAACGTCCACTGACTCTCTCTCTCTCTCTCTCTCTCTCTCTCTCTCTCTCTCTCTCTCTCTCTCTCTCTCTCTCTCTCTCTCTTACGTCACACATGAGCGTCGTAATCACAGCCAGGTAAAGTAATTAGATTCTTGTTACATATGAGCTATCTTACGGTCCGTTTGGTCATCGTGTAGGAATGAATGGTGAGGACCGTGACATGAGATGGTGAGGACCGTGACATGAGATGGTGAGGACCGTGACATGAGATGAGTGAGGACCGTGACATGAGATGGTGAGGACCGTGACATGAGATGGTGAGACCGTGACATGAGATGAGTGAGACCGTGACATGAGATGGTGAGGACCGTGACATGAGATGGGTGAGACCGTGACATGAGATGGCAGGACCGTGACATATGAGATGGTGAGGACCGTGACATGAGATGGCGAGGACCGTGACATGAGATGGCGAGACCGTGACATGAAGATGGTGAGGACCAATGACATATGTGAGATGGTGAGGACCGTAACATGTGGATAATGAGACCGTGACATGAGATGGTGAGGACCGTGACATGAGATAGTGAGGACCGTGACATGAGATGGCGGGACTGTTGACATGAGATGGTGAGGACCGTGACATGAGATATGAGGACCGTGACATGAGATAGTGAGGACCGTGGAAAAACATGAGATGGTGAGGACCGTGACATGAGATGGCGGACCGTGACATGAGATGGTGAGGACCGTGACATGAGATGGCGAGGACCGTGACATGAGATGGTGAGGACCGTGACATGAGATGGTGAGGACCGTGACATGAGATGGTGAGGACCGTGACATGAGATGGTGAGGACCGTGACATGAGATGGTGAGGACCGTGACATGATTTCAGTTCAGTCAGTTGCTTCTCCTTCACGTCTCAGTAAGACTTATACTTGTATCCGGGCAAGACGTGTGTGTGCTGACTAACTAGCTGACTGACTCATGCTTGCTATATTGCTGCGTCGGGACATTAAAATTCTCTCACTCCACTCGTCCGTTTGTCCGTGCGTGCAAGTGTGGTCGGCCGTGCGTTCATCCGTGGCTCTCTGTAAGTGTGGGTGAGTTGGGGGTCGTAATATCACCGAAGAAAATTTATTTAAAGTCACCATCTTTGGCACAGCGCCTTCTTATGTGGCACATTTGGAGGGGGTTTGAGGGCCTAACCTAACCTCTCCTACTGGAAGGGAGTTATGACCTTTTGGCACTCTGTTTTTGTTGTTTGGGGGCGGGGTCACTGCTGACCCACCTCTCAACTAAGCTCCGCCCACTTTTAGCGTCCTTAGCAACCGTTACTATACGTAGCAGTTGATTGGTTACTAAGACAATAATTCTTAATTCCACTGCGTACGTGTCTCCCTGTGTCACCAGCCATGGCAGCGAGGGGAGACTTGATGACTATTGTGTATCATCATTTGAATTAGAGCATTGCATTAGATATTATAGGTCCCGTTAGGTAAGAGGGAGTTAAACTGACGTGATAGGATATATCTGGGTTACGTCATGGTAGATAAGAACCAATCATTGCATTTATTATCCAGATGACGACATAATGGGTTAGACCCAGTCAACGCATTGTATTCAGATGACGTCACGGTGGGTGAAAACCAATCAGTGCACGCCAGATCGCACCTACGTGACTTCTACCATAGAGTTCCACCCCTCTGCTCCCTCGCTCTAGTTGGTGAAATTATAACTGTCGCTTGAGCCGTCGTCTCGGGGTTAAGCATCTGGCGCTCAAGTGATGTCACGCTAGAGGAGAACCAATTAGCTTGGGTCACGTCCATGTGCGTGAGGATGTAACGCGACTTGGTGGTGATGTCATGATGGACTGAAACCAATCAAACGGATTTGTTTTCCAGATGACACCATTGCGGCCAGGAGCTAATCTTTGCACTGTTTTCAGATGACGTCATGAGTTGCGTGCGTTCCAGCTTGTTATTTACACAAACAAACAACCGACAGGAATGTTATCGCGTGTTCAATAATTTTGAAAGTAAAATTGCCTGCCAGTTTCTGCCCCAGAATATCGTTGTGATGATTAGAGGAAATATTATCAACGAGATCTGAATATTACCTGGAAGCTGGTTAACCCTTCGAGTCCTAGAGGGTTTCGCCATCGTCCTCAAAAGGTTTATCATCGTCCTCAAAGGTTTAAACCATCGTCTTCAATGGGTTAAATTATAGTTCTCAAAGGGTTAAACCATCGTCCTCAAAGGGTTAAATCATCGTCCTTAGAGGGTTAAAAATCATCGTCCTCAAATGGTTAACCATCTTACTTAAAGGGTCGTAACTTAATGAATGCAGTTAAATACATTATCATATATGAAGATAAATGAAATAAAATAGAGAAAATAGCAAAAATGACTCACTTAAAATATATTCAAACATCTGAGACCAAAAGTTTAATGTCGGAGCTTTGGATAATGGCGGGATTTCTCAAGGTGATTTAATGTAATTTATTCTCCGGTATATCCTGAGTTGGGGCGTCCTGATTTGGGCCGTCTTGAGTTAGGGCGTCCTGAGTTGGGGCGTTTTGAGTTGGGACGTCTTGAGTTAGGGCGTCCTGAGTTGGAACGTCCTGAGTTGAAGCGTCCTTAGTTGGAACATCCTCAGTTGGAACGTCATCAGTTGGGGCGTCCTGAGTTGGGACGTCCTCAGTTGGGACGTCCTCATTTGGGACGTCCTCAGTTGGGACGTCCTCAGTGATGCGGCGTCCTCAGTTGGGGCGTCCTACGTTGGGACGTCCCCAGTTGGGATATCTTGAATTGGGGCGTCCTGAGTTGGGGCGTCCTGAGTTGGGGCGTCTAGAGTTATGGCGTCCTGAGTTGGGACATCTTGAGTTGGGGTGTCCTGAGTTGGAGCGTCCTGACTTGGGCGTCCTTAGTTAGGCGTCCTAGTTGGGGACATCTTGGAGTTAGGGCGTCCTGAGTTGGGGGAGTCCTGAGTTGGGACGTCTGAGTTGGGGGCTTCCTGAGTTGGGATGTCTTGAGTTGAGGCGTCTTGAGTTGAGGCGTCCTGAGTTGGGGCGTCCTGAGTTGGAAGGTCCTGACTTGGGGCGTCCTTAGCTGGGGCGTCCTGAGTTGGGACGTTCTTGAGTTGAGGCCCCTGAGTTAAGGCGTCCTGAGTTGGGACATCTTGAGTTAGGGCGTCCTAGTTGGGCGCCCTGACTTGGGGCGTGTCCTGACTCTGGGGGCGTCCTATTTGTGGCGTACTGAGTTAGACATCTTGAGTTAGGGCGTCCTGAGTTGGGGCGTCTCTGAGTTGGGACGCCTTGAATTGGGGCGTTCTGACGGGGGATTTGGAATTGACGCGTCCTGGAGTTGAGGCGTCCTGAGTTGTGACGTCCTGAGTTGGGGTCTCCTGAGTTGGGACGTGCTGAATTGAGGCGTCTTGAGTTGGGGCATCTGAGTTGGGGGTGTCCTGAGTTGGGGACGTGTTGAATTGAGGCGGTCTTGAGTTGGGACGTCCTGAGTTGGGGTGCGTCCTGAGTTGGGACGTTGAATTGAGGCGTCTTTGAGTTGGGACGTCCGAGTTGGGGGTGTCCTGACAGACGCATGAATTGAGGCGTCCCTGAGTAGGGAATGTCTTGGAGTTGAGGCGTCCTGATTTGGGGGCGTCTTGAATTGAGGCGTCTTGGAGTTGGGGCGTCCTGAGTTGGGACGTCTTGAATTGAGGCGTCTTTGAGTTGGGGCGTCCTGATTGGGGCGTCTGAGTTGGGGCGTCCTGATTTGGGGGCGTCTTGAGTTGGGGGCGTCCGAGTAGGATTTGGTTGAGTTGAGGCGTCTGGCAGGACGTCTTGAGTTGAGGCGTCGTGAGTTCGGGCGTCCTGAGTAGGACTTTGAGTTGGGGCATCCTGAGTAGGGACGTCTTGAGTTGAGGCGTCCTGAGTTCGGGCGTCCTGAGTAGGGACTTCTTGAGTTGGGGCATTCTGAGTAGGGACGTCTTGAGTTGAGGCGTCCTGAGTTGTGGTGTCCTGAGTTGAATAGTGTCTTTGTGAGCTGTGATACACTCCAGGGACTGACAGGCAGCATTGTTGCCCTCGGAAGGAAAAATCGAGAGTTTAAATGTCTTGAGAAAGTTTTGTGTCGCAGCGTATAATTTTATGACCTTCAGGGAGAAACGCAAAACTGTGTTGGTGTCTTTTGTGTGTGTGTGTTGATGACCTAGGATGGTGGTGCTTACATACCCTCTCTCTCTCTCTCTCTCTCTCTCTCTCTCAGGTGTTCACAGTCAATAGTCAATCAGAGAAAAATAATGACAGAAAGAGAGAGAAAGATAGAGAGATGGAGAAAGATTGCGAGTGCGTGTATGTGCATATATTTAAGAGAGAGAGAGAGAGAGAGAGAGAGAGAGAGAGAGAGAGAGAGAGAGAGAGAGAGCAGTCTCAGAGGAGCACCTACACCTGTGAAATGATCAGCGATTTACACATAACTCGTGACACCTGGTTAAGGAGAATCCAACTCAGGTAAACCCTTCTATTATGTGGTCGACTTTCACATCTCAACATTGTACCATAGCGCCTTAAGACACGAATTCTCACTCACTATCAACATTCTTCTTCCTTCGGCCCTGACCACCTCTAGTTTCGGTGGTCATTAAGTAAATATGTTAAAGATCACCTGAAGAATATCTACCCCAGCATATTTCACCTATAGATGAACCACCGTAACCAAACCTAACCAAACCTAACCTAACTTAACCTTACCTAACATAACATAACCTAACCTAACCTAAGCAAAACTAACCTAACCTAGGTCATGTATTGTCGTATTGTCAATTAATAACTCATAAAATCCTCATAAAATCCTGGATCCGCCACTTTTATCTCTATCGTAAAGGAACAGACGAGTCATTACAGAAAACGTCTCCTTAAGGCTGGAGTTCAAGGGATAACTTTAGTAAACCTAATCAGCGTCTTCTGTTGTCGAACCCGGTACAATTGTGTGACTGTAAACGGGTGTAGTGAGCTGAAGGTGGGTGTAGAACGGTGTAGGTGGGTGTAGTCTGGTGTAGAAGAGTGTAGGTGGGTGTTGTTGTGTGTAGGTGAGTGTTGGTGCGTGTAGGTGGGTGGAGTAGGGCGTAGGTGAGTGTGTAGGTAGGTGTAGATGTGTTTTTATGTGGGTGTAGATGGGTGGAGTAAGGTGTAGGTGAATGAAAATGGGTTTAGATGGGTTTAAGTGGATGTAGATGGGGTAGACGATTGTTGGTGGGTTTAAATGAGTGTAGGTGGGTGTAGGACGAGTCAGAGTGAATACGGATCTGTATGGGTGGATATGGAAGACTATAGGCGGATGTGAGTTTATCTGTGGTCGTTGTGGTTGGGTGTAAAGAGTTAGGGCGTGGCCTTGTAACACACCCTACCCCACCTACAACCCATCCCCCCCCCCAACACACACATACCTGCCTGAACAGCGCCCCAGGTGTCACTAGACGAATTAGCGGTTTCACCTCGGGCGTGTGAAAGACCCATCCACCGTGACTTCCAGACTCCCACACTCCGACAGCCAGAAAACCCTAAGACTCTTTCTCCACGCTCCATAACTCTCACCCTTGTGTTACGTAAATTTAGAGGTGTTTTTAGGGTGTTGATGATTGATACTTTTCGTCCACATTCAAGCGGAAAATCAGGACCAGAGAGTCGACAGGGATCGTTCGACAAGTTGGCCTTAAGGGGGAACAGATGGGGGGGGGGGGAGTTGAGAGGTAAACTAATTTATTATAGTGATACCTACAAGTGATAGACACAGTCGTTTTCTGTGGTTCTGTGGTGTTCTTACCTATTGTGACTGTCTCATTAGTCCCCAAGTCCTCCCACTTCAGCCCCCTAGCTTTCAGATCTCCCAGCCCTTAGCTATCAGACATACAATTCATAGTCCACATACCCAAACTTTCTGTCCATATCCCCAAGCATTTACATCTCCTCCTCCTCTTCCTCCTTCCTCCTCCCTTCTTCCTCTTCCCTCTTACCCCCCTCTTTTCTCCCCTTCTTCCTCTTTTCTCTCCTCTTTTTCCTCTTCCTCCTTCCTCCCTCCTCCCTTCTTCCTCTTCTTCTTCCCGCCTTCATCCTCTCTTCGTTTTCTTTTCTCCTCCCTTCGTCCTCTTCCTACCTTCTTCCTTCTTCCTCTTCCTCCTGCTCCTCCCTTCTTCCCTCTTCCTCTTCCTTCCTCCTCCCTTCTTCCTCTTCCACCTTCCTCCTTCCTTCACCATCCCCTGGTAATGGTGTGAGCGGATCTCCCTAACCTACATCAGTCACATTGTGTGTGTGTGTGTGTGTGTGTGTGGCCAGACGCTGACGGCTACAAACTGTTAGTATACTGTAGTACACAAACACGCATGCTCTCTCTCTCTCTCTCTCTCTCTCTCTCTCTCTCTCTCTCTCTCTCTCTCTCTCTCTCTCTCTCTCTCAGCAATTAATTAATAAAAAAATAGTAAACAGTTATATGCCAAAAATCACCTTCCCTCGCATCATCTACCTGTCATGCCATTTAATTACCTGTCAACCCACCACATCTACCTGTCCTGTCATTTAATTACCTGTCATGCCATCACATCTTTCATGCCATTTAATTACCTGTCAACCCACCACATCTACCTGTCCTGTCATTTAATTACCACAATACACAACAGGTAGCGAGAGAACCAGGTAACTCAGACAGGTCTAGGATTAGTGTCTTTGTTTGGCCTTCATAAAGGGGTGAAGAGGTGGTGGAGGAAGGTAAGAAGTGTGTACGTGTTATTATGGTTTTGGTGGTGGGTGGTGGTGGTAGGTGGTGGCGGTGGTGGTGGTGGGTGTGGGGTGGTGGTGGTGGTGGTGGTGGTGGTGGTGGTGGTGGTGGTGGTGGTGGTGGGTGGTGGTGGTGGTAGGTGGTGGTGGTGGTGGTGGTGGTGGTGGTGGTGGTGGTGGTGGTGGTGGTGGTGGTGGTGGTGGTAGGTGGTGGTGGTGGTGGTGGGTGGTGGTGGTGGTGGTGGTAGGTGGTGGTGGTTGTTGTTGTAATTATTAACTGATGGCCCCAACACTAGGATCTAATAGCACTGGGAGCTTCAACCTGCTTAACTTGGCCTCAAGTTCACTATGTTTAAACTGTGTAATGTTTCTTGTGGTTAGCAGGGTGAGGAGGAAAAGGAAGGTTACTTAGGTTAGGTTAGGTTTAAGAAGTTAGAAGGGAGAGAGTTGAGGAAGGTTAGGTGAAAAGGGAGGTGTGGTAGGGAGCGAGGAGGCGATGGGCGGTATGGAGGTGAGGAAATGAAGATGGATGGAGGTGAGAAAGGAAGGAAAGAAAGAAGTGAGAAAAGGAGAGAGGGAGGGAAGCAGGTGAGGAGAGAGGGAGGTAGGTGAGGTGAGGTGAGGAGAGAGAGGGAATGATTACAGGAAACCAAGTGAGAGTTAATTAAAGGAAGAGGAAGTTAAGTGTCGTGGGTGGTTTGGTTACACACACACACACACACACACAGGCTATACATTCTGTCATCTCTAACGCATTTCCTCCTTATCAAAAGTCATCAGGAGCCTCAAATTTCTCTCATAAAACTTGGTTCCTCGCCGCCCGTGTGTTTACCGTGGCAGAGGTGCTATAACGGGTACCAACCACGAAGGCATAACACAACAGACCTCCATGCATGAGCGAGTTGCAAGGTGTTTGTGTGTGTTGGGGTGTAGGGGTGGTGGGTAGGTGTGTGTGTTGGGGTGTAGGGTGGGTAGGTGTGTGTGTGTTGGGGTGTAGGGGTGGTGGGTGGTGTGTGTGTGTTGGGGTGTGGGGTGGTGGGTGGTGTGTGTGTGTTGGGGTGTAGGGGTGGTGGGTCGGTGTGTGTGTGGCGTGTGGGGTGGGTGGGTGTGTGTGTTGGGGTATAGGGCTGGTGGGTAGGTGTGTGTGTGTTGGGGTGTAGGAGTGGTGGGTGGGTGTGTGTGTTGGGGTGTAGGGGGTGGTGGTGGGTGTGTGTGTGTGTTGGGGTGTGGGGTGGGTAGGTGTGTGTGTGTTGGGGTGTGGGGTGGTGGGTCGGTGTGTGTGTTGGGGTGTAGGGGTGGTGGGTAGGTGTGTGTGTTGGGGTTAGGTGGTGGGTAGGTGTGTTTGTGTTGGGGTGTAGGGTGGGGTAGGTGTGTGTGTGTTGGGGTGTAGGGTGGTGGGTGGGTGTGTGTGTTGGGGTGTAGGGGTGGTGGGTGGGTGTATGTGTTAGGGTGTAGGGGTGGTGGATGGGTGTGTGTTGGGGTGTAGGGGGGTGGGTAGGTGTGTGTGTTGGGGTGTAGGGGTGGTGGGTAGGGTGTGTGTGTTGGGGTGTAGGGGTGGTGGGTAGGTGTGTGTGTTGGGGTGTGGGGGTGGTGGGTGGGTGTGTGTGTGTTGGGGGGGGTGTGGGTCGGTGTGTGTGTGTTGGGGTGTAGGGTGGTGGGTAGGTGTGTGTGTTGGGGTTTAGGGGTGGTGGGTAGGTGTGTGTGTGTTGGGGTGTAGGGTGGTGGGTAGGTGTGTGTTGGGGTGTAGGGGTGGTGGGTGGGTGTGTGTGTGTGTTAGGGTGTGGGGTGGTGGGTGGGTGTGTGTGTGTTGGGGGTGTGGGGTGGGTGGGTCGGTGTGTGTGTTGGGGTGTGGGGGTGGTGGGTAGGTGTGTGTGTTGGGGTTGGTGGGTGGGGTGTGTTTGTGTTGGGGGTGTGGGGGGTGGTGGGTGGGTGTGTGTGTGTTGGGGTTGTGGGGTGGGTGGGTGTGTGTGTTGGGGTTGGGGGTGGTGGGTGGGTGTGTGTGTTAGGGGTGTGGTGGTGGATAGGTGTGTGTGTTGGGGTGTAGGGGTGGTGGGTGGGTGTGTGTTGGGGTGTGGGGTTGGTGGGTAGGTGTGTGTGTGTTGGTTGTAGGGGTTGGTGGGTGGGTGTGTGTGTGTTGGGGTGTGTGGGGTGGTGGGTAGGTGTGTGTGTGTTGGTTAGGGGTGGTGGGTGGGTGTGTGTGTGTTGGGGTTATGGGGTGGTGGGTGTGTGTGTTGGGGTGTGGGGTGGTGGGTAGGTGTGTGTGTTGGGGTTGTGGGGTGTGGTGGGTGGGTGTGTGTGTGTTGGGGTGGGGTGGTGGGTGGGTGTGTGTGTGTTGGGGTTGGGTGGTGGTGGGTGTGTGTGTGTTGGGGTGTAGGGGTGGGTGGGTGGGTGTGTGTGTGTTGGGGTGTAGGGGGTGGTGGGTGGGTGTGTGTGTGTTGGGGTGTAGGGTTGGTGGGTGGGTGTGTGTGTTGGGGTGTGGGGTGGTGGGTGGGTGTATGTGTTGGGGTGTGGGGATGGACGGTAGGTGTGTGTTTGTGTGTGCAGTGTAGGGTAGCTGTGTGGGGGGGTGTAAATATGTCATCCAGATAGTCACTTGAAAACACAGGAAACGGTTTCGATATAATATGGTTTCAATATAAACTTTGGTAGTTATTGTTTTTAACTCTATAAACACTGGGTTTCAAGAGAGTTGGTGGTTTTCAGTTCAATAGACAATGGTTTAGATAGATAACAGGTTTCTAGTCGATAAAAGCGATGGTTACCTAGTCGATTAATACCAGGTTTCGAGTCGATAAGCAGTCAAGATGTTGAAGTTTGGTTTGTTGGTGAGCCCCGTATGTCAGCTTGAGCACCCGTCTGTCAGCTTGAGCACCCGTCTGTCAGCTTGAGCACCCGTCTGTCAACTTAAACTTCGTCTATGAGCTTAAACCCAGACTGTCAATTTGAACCCTGTCTGTCAACTTGAACCCCGTCTGTCCGCTTGAACCCATACTGTCAGCTTGAACCCCGTCTGTCAGCTTGAACCCCGACTGTCAGCTTGAAACCCCGACTGTCAACTTGAACCCCGACTGTCAACTTGAACCCCGACTGTCAGCTTGAAACCCCGACTGTCAACTTGAACCCTGACTGTCAGCTTGATACAGAGGCTGGTGGAGGAGGTGGACGTGGAGATAAACCTCCCGAGTTTCCTTTTTGAGAAAGTAAGGTGGTGATGGTGGTGGTGGTGGTGGTGGTGGTGGTGGTGGTGGTGGTGGTGGTGGTGGTGTAGGTGGTAGTAGTGGTGGTGGTGGTGTTAGTGGGTAGTAGTGGTGATAGGGTAGTAGTAGTGGTGATTGTAGTAGTGATGGTAATAATAGTGGTGGTAGGGTGGTAGTAGTGGTGGTGGTAGTGGTAGTAGTAGTAGCAGTAGTGATGCCACGTGGTAATGGTAATAGTAGTGGTGGTAGGGTGGTAGTAGTAGTAGTGGTGGTGGTGGTGGTGAGCCCTGGCAACGAGACGGGGGCCCCGGCAGTCAGCTGTGATGGTGGGTGTTGGGGCCTGGTGTTCCTCAGTGCTGCTTCTGAGTCCCTCGCCGTTCACGTGGTTTGGCTTAGCTATTTGCCCTGCAGTGTAAGAACACCTACCGTGTATGTGTGTCTGTGTATGTGTGTCTCTGTCTGTCTGTGTGTGTGTTCAGGGCTGTTTCACTCCATCTGTCTGTCAATCAGTGTATCCGTCTACCAACCAGTGTATCCGTTTATCAATCAGTGTATCCGTCTATCAATCTGTCCGTCTGTTAATCCGTGAAACTGTCTGTCAATCCATCCATACTGTCCCTACCCATCCTAAAGGAAGAGAAGACCTACCGTGTGTGTGTTTGTGTGTTGGATGGTTTAGAAATACTTTATACCATCCGTCTTACCAACCATCCGTCCGTCCGTCCGTCTGTACGTCCGTCGTAAGGTTTGGCTTATCTCCAGGAGGCTGTACAGTATAGTTAAGATGCAGGCGGTGTGGTACTGAAGAATGTTGCTAGTCACCTCTCTTGTGTGTGTTACCTGTGTTAATTGCATCTGTTGTTTATTGAAATGTTTGTATTTATTAACGACGCATAAATTACGTTTTTGGGGACGTTTTTTTAGAATCTGTGAGTTTGTAAATGATGTAAATAATATGTTTGCCTTCTAAGGGGTTCCAGTTTGGTGTTTTACTCAGTGTTTCATTCGAGTGTTCTATGGTGTTGAATGTGTTGTGTATGTGTGTTGTGTGTGTGTGTGTTTTATGGATCAGTTTGTATGTTTATGTGATTTTCAGACAGACAGACATAGACAGACAGACTCAGTTAAGAACCCCGCCCGTGACACGTTATGACAGGGATGTGGTGAGTGGTTCAGGTAACCCCCGAAGCTGCCTCGTGTTTGTGTTCGAACAGGTTAATTACATTCCATGACCTGAGTGCCTTTGAAAATTATGGTGAGAACGGTGAATATTCCTGTTCTGAAGAAAAAATATAAATAAACATCCAGGAATATATATTTATTGGAAAAATATATAAATTACTTACAGATATATATTGTTTTGAAAGATAATCCATAAACTAGTGTTTTATGACGTCATCAACTATATTTCCTAAGTATGGTAAATTCATTTTTTTTTCATATACTGTTTTCAGAATTTCATTTATCTGTATTTAAATATTCGTCCATATCCCATGAAATAGAACTTGATCAAACGTGAAATAAACATTGACATTAAACAACAATATTCTCTGACTCATCGTAAACACAACAACAAGACTCTCTCGTTTCTAAGAGATCTTTTTGTATACAGTGATAATCGGCTGGGACAACAACAATAACAAACAGTGACGTCATCATCATTCGAGCATCACACCCACGATCATCACCCAAAAAGTTCATCGTCCTTGGAACTGTGAACTACGATTGTGAACAACGACTGTGAACAGCGTCAAGAACAACAACCATTCTTTGCAAAAAGTTCATCGTCCGTGGTGCTCTGAACAACGTCAAGAACGCCAACCTTTCTCTCAGACACGATCATCAAACACAGTGAGGCGAACAGAACTGGAAGAGAGAGAGAGAGAGAGAGAGAGAGAGAGAGAGAGAGAGAGAGAGAGAGAGAGTTCCCCAGGCTGTTTGCTGGGTCCGTCACCGTCACCCACACAACAAGAGCCAGGCAACAAAAGCAACGCCTGGAGTTGTGCTATTGTTCTGTGGAGAGAGAGAGATGGAGAAAGAGATAGATAGATGAATAGAGAGATACAAAGACAAATAGATAGAGATACTGAGATACAGATAGACAGAGATACAAAGAGATAGATACAGGTAGACATAAATACAAGAGAGGCTAGAGAGATAGATAGATAGATAGATAGAGAGAAGGAGAAAGAGATAGATACAGGTAGACAGAAATACAGAGAGAGATACGTGATACATGTATAATGTCCAGGTCATGTATACCTTAAACACAGGACGTAAAGCAAGTCTCTCCAGGATTCTTAGATAATCACATTTAACTTTTTTTCCAACTGGAGAGGTGAGGACGTGTATGAGTGAAGTGTTTGAGTGACGTGTTTAAGTGACGTGTATGAAAGACGTGTTTGAATGACGTGTATGAGTGACATGTGTGAGTGACGTGTTTGAGTGATGTGTTCGAGTGACGTGTATGAGTGACATGTGTGAGTGATGTGTTTGAGTGACGTGTATGAGTGACATGTGTGAGTGACGTGTTTGAGTGATGTGTTCGAGTGACGTGTATGAGTGACATGTGTGAGTGATGTGTTTGAGTGACAGGTGTGAGTGACGTGTATGAGTGACGTGTATGAGTGACATGTGTGAGTGATGTGTTTGAGTGACGTGTATGAGTGACGTGTTAAGTCTGAGTGACGTGTTAAGTCTGAGTGACGTGTTTAGTTCATACATTAATTTATCACTTAACAGGTGACGTGAAAAGTAGGTGTCTCGCTTAAGCTTGAAGACAGAGATTAATTCTTAAAAGGTCATACGTTAATTTCTCTCATAAACAATAAACGTGACAAGTACATCTCTCTCTCTCTCTCTCTCTCTCTCTCTCTCTCTCTCTCTCTCTCTCTCTGTGACGACTGTATCCAAAGGTGTTTATTATCCCCAATTATACAGTTGTAGAGTTATACAGTCATACAGCTAAACAGTTATACCAGAACACTGACATACGAATTGTTTTAAGACTCGTGAGAAGCATCGTTGCCACACAAGCATGAAACTGTCACGTCTCCACTGTCATTTCCTGTCAAGTGTCATGAAGGCGCTGTCAAGATTACCTGCTAGCGCTTGTTAGCTCACCTGTGCCACCATCACACACTTGTCAGCGGCCTGGCGTCATGGTTGTCTTGCTTGGGTTAAGTGGTATATAAAAATGTGTGGATTTATCATGGGTGTTGAAGCTGTAGGTGGTGGTGGGGGTGGTGGTGGTGGGGGTGGTGGGGGTGGGGGTGTTGTTGTTGTTGTTGTAGTTGTTCTTTTTCTTATTATTTTTATTATCATTATTATTATTGTTATTATTTTTTGTTGTTGTTTTATTATTATTATTATTATTATTATTATTATTATTATTATTATTATTATTATTATTATTATTATTATTATTATTATTATTATTATTATTATTATTATTATCATTATTATCATTATTATAGTCAAGGTAAAGATTATTGTCTGTGTGTTTGTGTGTCCAGGTAAACAACTTATCACTTAACCAAACAACCTCTAACTGTTACCTGTACATAAACATTCACCCTTGAGGAAAAATAGAGCAAATTTTGTAAACAATTCTAACTGTAATATCATATTGACAAGACTGTATCATTTTTGTAGCTATTGTTAGTTTCTAAAAAAAAATACGATTTGGTGGATTTATTTGGGGATAATTTGTAATGTTGAGTTTATCTGGATGTTAATTTGTGTACAGTGAAACCTCTATTTAACGAAGAGAGGAAAGTCCGTTCTATCGAGGGTCCGTTACATGTGAAACCCTCCCCCATCTAACGGATTATATGGAGGTATAAGTCCGTTATATGGAGGTTTCACTATATGCTTAATGATTATTTATATATTATAAGAAATAATAATTTTACTCTGTATTAAGTAGATCGAACTAATGTACCCAAACGAGTAAGTTAGTGTTGCTGCCAGCTAGCCCACAGTAGACACTAAAGTAGAAGTATTAATAAGGAAGGATCTCTCACGGTTAGGAAGACTAATACTCGTGTTTAAACTTAAGGGAGGGAGAGGGAGGGAGGGATAGAGAAGGAAGAAAGGAGGGAGTAAGAGAGTGAGGGATGTAATGAGAGAGAGAGAGTGATGGCGAGAGGAATAGGGGGAGGGAAGGAAGGAGGGAGGGAGAGAGAGAGTGAGGGAGGCAGGGATTGAGAAGGAAGAAAGGCGGGAGAGAGAGTGAGTAAGAACAGTATGGTACTTTCCCTAATGGTCAACAGCTATTAGAAATTTAAAGTGAAAGTGTTTTAAAAATTCAACAATAACTTTCTCCTCTCAAGCAGAGCCTTATGAGTATTATTACTATGGCGTTTACTCTTTAAACAAATGACTGCAATAATTTACCCCTACATAATACTCAAAATCCGCTTAAGAATTACTAATAACTTGTAATTATAAGATATTTTTAACCAACTTTCACGGTGAAGGTATTACTGTAAAAACCAGCTTTCTCGGTTAAAGTAATGTGGTGTAATAACATTAGCTCGTTGGATTTCACTGCACGACACTGTGTTATAATGTTAGGAGGTGTACGACGACAGGTGTGGTGTTATGGTTGTGTCAGCTGGAGGGGCGGGGGGGTGAGGGTCAGGGTGGTTCATGTTATTGATAGACCACGAACAGAACGTCTCAGTTGTTGATGTTATTGAAAGCAGGTGATTTGTACCAACTTAATCTAACCTAATGTAACCTTATCTAACCTAACCTAATCTAGTCTAACCTAACCTAACCAAACCAAAGGGAGTGTGTGTGTGTGTGTGTGTGTGCATACGGTACCGTCGTGACGGTAGCCTTTTTAATATTAGACGTCTGGCAGCCTACAACAAAGACCTTAACAACTCAGGTCATAGAACTACAGTATGCAGATGACTGGGCAATAATGACACATAACAGAGAATCTTTGCAACGTGCACTGGACCTGATCTCTGGTATTTACAGTTCGCTTGGTTTGCAAATTAACACCCGGAAGACTGAGATTTTTGTCCAGCCCATTGTTCCACCAATAGAAGCACCACAATTCTACATTAATGGAGATCCTATCATAATAGTAAACCAGTTTAAGTACCCTGGTAGCACTCTCACACCCACCTGCTCACTGGATATGGAAATTCAAACCAGAATCAATTTAGCCTCGGCTGCATTTGGACGTTTGAGAACAAGAGTCTTTCTCAACAATGACCTCATTTATGGAACGAAGACTGCAGTTTATCTCGAGGTCTGTATATCTACATTATTATATGCCTCAGAAACCTGGACGCCCTACAAACGCCATATCCAAATGCTGGTAAACTTCCACACTAGATGCCTTAAGCGTATCTTTGGAATATCCTGGGAAGATAGAGTGACCCGTGAAGAACT